ATCCATGTCACCGACATGTAAAATAAAACCACAACAGTGTACTGACCTGGATATCTAAGCTCTTCCTGCTCTTCTAGGTGAAATCAGGGTGGCTTTTGTGCTGTATAACAACCTGGGCACCTATCTCTCCACGGAGAACGCCAGCATGAAGTTGGGAACAGAAGCAATGTCGACTAATCACTCCGTCATTGTCAACTCCCCTGTCATCACGGCAGCAATAAACAAAGAGTTCAGCAATAAGGTTTACCTGGCCGATCCCGTGGTGTTTACTGTCAAGCACATCAAGGTGAGGGAGTTTGAAAAGCACTTCTTTATTTTTCTTTTTCAATCTCTAAAACAAAGTGATGCAAAAGTTGGCTGATGTGAGGCCCCCAGCAGCCCTTGATTAAATTTTGAGTTATACATTTGTTCCTTTGCACTTTGGGTTATTTATGGGGAATGTCTCTTCTATGTCGCATTAATAAAAGTAAAGAAAGTCTCCTTTGAGCTGATGCCCATTGCTCAGTTGCTGACACACGTCATTCTGTAATTAAAAACTACCAATATATTAGAATAGACCATAATATTATTTTATCATGGTGGCAGGGGATATTAGAGGAAAGTGGAATTACAGTGAAAGAGGACAGCTAGTCCTCCAGTTAGCCAAGCACAGTCATTGCAAAAGTTGATTGCTTAAAGCAATTAATTTCTCTGCTCTGCAATGCAAATGAAGCAATCTGATTTTGAGGAGTTGGTTTTGCTCTATGGCTGAAATTAATCAAGAACAAAGAACTAAGTTAGCTTTATCAAAGAGAGCAGCAACAATATAACTTTCTCTGGTATCGGCAAGTAACGCTTGACATATAAACCTCTGCTGATTGTTTGTCCAAAATTAAAAGGGTGAGAGTTACAACATGCCTCTGGGGGGAAAAAAAATATAGTGCATTTAGAAATCTCTGAAACCCTTTCATTTTTACTGCATTTATTCATTTCTTCCCCACAGCAGTCAGAAGAAAATTTCAATCCAAACTGTTCGTTCTGGAGCTATACAAAGCGTACAATGACAGGGTATTGGTCCACCCAGGGATGTCGCCTCCTGACAACTAACAAGACACACACCACATGCTCCTGCAATCACCTAACCAACTTTGCAGTCCTGATGGCACACGTGGAAGTTAAGGTAGGCATTGCGGATTCACCGGCTGCCAAGGAACTGGGCAGGAAAAGTGGCCAATGTAACACCATTCTGTTACTGCAAATGGAGCTGAGCAGGGAAATTGCTGTGTGACAGTAACTCTGACGGGATAGACCATCTGGTGTAAATCTTCCTTCTGCTATATGGTGAGACAGGAGATAGTCACACTGATGCGAAGCCTGTTGAGCTCCTGGCATGGGCAGCTCAGAGCTGAGGATGACAACTGAGCAGAATTAGCTGTTGCCACTTCCGTTGCTTACCAGTGCAGAACATCTCTGCCCCTGTACTCTGCTCTGGTGAGACCCCACCTGGAGTGCTGCGTCCAGCTGTGGAGCCCTCAATATCAGAAGGATACAGACCACTTGGAGCAAGTCCAGAGGAGGCCACAAAGATGCTCAGAGGGCTGGAGCACCTCTGCTATGACAAAAGGCTGCAAGAATTGGGCTTGTTCAGCCTGGAGAAGAGGAGGCTCCGAGGAGACCTCATTGCAGCTTTCCAGTATCTGAAGGGGGCCTACAAGGGTGCTGGGAGAGGCCTTTTTACAAGAGCCTGTAGTGACAGGACAAGGGGTAATGGGGACAAATTGAAAACAGGGAGGTTTAGATTAGATATTAGGAAGAAATTCTTCACAGAGAGGGTGGTGAGGCACTGGGACAGGTTGCCCAGAGATGTTGTGGATGCCCTATCCCTGGATGTCTTCAAGGCCAGGCTGGATGTGGCTTTGAGCAACCTGGTCTAGTGGAAGGTGTCCCTGCCCATGGCAGGGGGGTTGGAACTGGATGGTCTTTAAGGTCCCTTCCAACCCAAACCATTCTATGATTCTATGATCTCCTGGCTGGGTCCTTGCTCGTGGGGGTCCTCACTGTGCCACCAGCGAGCGTGGTGGGTGGTGGGGCAGAAGCACGCAGAGCCTGCCCCATGAGGTGCAGATTGTGTGCGCTGCACGTGTGTGCGAGATCCACGTGTGGAGCCAAAAGTGTCTTCCAGCTTCCAGAGAGGAGAAAAAGACACATTCACTGCATCTCACTATCTGACAGTGAAAAAAGGAAAGGGACACATGAAAGGGAAGCTCGTTACACCATCCTGCACAGACACCTACCCGAGGTCAGTGCATCATCAGCTAGTTCCCTTGCCTGCATTTAGGTCCATGGTGTAATTCATCCCCACTGGAGCTAAAGACGTTACTCCTGAAGGTTTCTCATGGGGAATCTGGGGAGTGAAGTGCACATTTGGGATTTTATTCGAGAACAGGAGAATGGTTGAGATGGTCCTGCATTTTCTGAGCTGTCTTGACTGTCTTTGGTTGAGAACAGTCTCAGCTGCTACAGGAAGAAGAGGAGAAGGTCCTGATGCCCAGAAGATTTTAACCTAGTGATGTTCTGTCTTACGGCATCTCTGTTTCATGTGCCTGGCACTGCAGCAGAATTCATGGCTCTGAGATGGGTATGGATCTGGCACTTTCCAGGCAGGCAGAACGTTTCAGAGCCCCATCCGTGGCTGCATAACCACACAAGCTATTATGTTTTTAAAAGACCTTTTCTCAAATAGTCTTCCAGTGTCACTCCTTTGTATATTTTTGTTCCACTTGATAATCTGAAGAGGAATGTGAAGAGCCACAATAAAAATATATTTTAAACCACCGTCATGCATAACTAGAGCTCTGCAAAAAGTAGAGAAATGGGATCCTGGCAGCACATTTGCTACAACAGCAGGGTCCAGCTGAGGGGGGCAGGATAGATCTGCTGCTGCTGCTGTTGCAGGATGATGTATCTGTTGTATTCTGCAGGAGTCACTACTGGTCTGGGAGATATGCCATTAAATAGCTGTGGCATTGTCCTGGGAGATGTCTGAAGAAATGGCCTATTCAGAGCACATGTTTACAGGTTCACAGCATTCTGCAGCTCAAGTCTGTTTGTGCCAGTTTCCCACAGCTGTTTGAATTTTCAAAAGAAATGTGTGTTTGGCTTGTTCTTACCTGCCTGGAGTTAACAGATATACCTGAGTCACTCGAGTCAGAGGTTGCACGTGGGAAATGCAGATAGCGCTCCACTCCACTGATGTGAATGAAGGCAGTCCCTGTTGCATGGCACAGATACAGGCTAGCACTGAACGAGCCTCTTCCCAAAATGCAAGTAGGTCAGACTTGCCTGCATGGCATTTCACCCAAACCCCATTAGACTCATAGCGCTGGTCTTATCTCATCTTGCAGAAAGAGAATGTGAGACCCCTGCTTGCCCATGCTCAGCCAACGGGTTGGAAAAAGCTGCAGCTGGAAGCTTCTCGAGCTCCCAAGCCAGTGTGCTATTAGCCGGTGGGTGTTTCTGGGTGTTAACAGGTGACCTCAAGACTTTCAGGTCATGTTTTACCATTTGGCTGCAGCCAGAGTGTCACTGCTGTAAAAGCCAAATTGGCTCCACTGTGTTGACTCTGATGGAACTGGACAGCTTCCTGGCATGTCCGCTTTAGCGATGATCCCAGCCCGAGGGCGAGGGCAGGTGCGTGCCCTGCAAACATCTGCAGCTCTTCCCTCCAGCTCTATCACTCTGCAATTCCCGGCAGCACCAGCCCTCTCCGGTCTGACGGTGAAGCTGGCCGTGTGGCTCTTGGCCGAGCTGGGAGGTGGCTTGTGTGACGTTCCTTATGCGATGAGTTGTTTTTAACGTTTTGGCAGCAGAGTATCTCCTGGTTTGGAAAGATGGAGGTTTAAAACTCAATGGGGGTTGTTGTCATTCACTGACTTGCACTCATCTCGTTGGCATGCTCTTTGTTGTCTTGTACAAACAGCCATTCCTTGCCTCAAAACCTTTTAGTCTTCCTGGAGGTAGAACAATCCTTGGGGAAATGATATTGCGTGGTTGTGCAGGACCTCTTACGGCAGCGTTCTGGCCGGTGATGAGGATCCTTGAAGAGGACTGACACGCACACAATAATGAATAATACTCTGGGAGTTTTGCAATAGAAACAATTTTCTCCTGTAATTGAGATTTATAGTTTACGGACTTCAGCTTGTTGGATTTTTGGATCTGTAGGGAGCATCGTTTGGTGTAATGAGTATCCACAGCCCCTTGCCTAATGAGACTGAACACTGGGCATCATGGGGAGCAGACATCGGATTCCTGCTCCTTAATCAAAAGCCAGCGCCAATTTGACAAGTGTCACTTCTGGTCACGAATGATCTCCCTCCCTGGTAGCATGGCGAAGGAGTGTGTTTTCCGGAGGAGACCTCGGTGGCTGCTCTGCGAGTTACGGGCTGGGATTTAATTATTAGTAGAGTGTATGTGGCAAGGTGGAGCTGGAAGGTAGCGCCCCTGAGGAGGTGATTGATGGCCGTCTGGCTCTCCAGCGTGAAACAGCAATATGTCTTTGTCCAAAGGGGCAGAAAATGACATTGGCTGACCACGGTGGCAGGGATTTATTGGTGTGCTTCAAGAGCAGAAGTTGTTGGAATCAATTCTAGTCTTAATAGGACAGTTCATAATTAAGAGGAGGAGATTTTAATTTAAAGATGCTTTCTGCCTGTTAAAAGATTAGTTGGGCCTGGAGTTTCTCCTGCACCTTTACTTCACTGGGGTCAATAACAGTGCCCAAGACCAAGAGCCTGCTGTGCACAGGGGCAGGATGCATAGCTGTGGGAAGAGCGATGGACCCACACCCACAGGTACCCCTCCAGCTGCTGTCAGAGCCCCAGTTTCACGGGAAGGGGACAGCGGGACCGTAATGACCTGTGAGCTGGACCTCGCTGATGCCTCATCCTGGCAAGGGATGTCTATACAGAACTGCAGCGTTCGTTACCCTTTTGGACAGTTTACCAGGAAGACTGTTTTCATCAGCTAAGAAGTTTGTATGGGCTGTGTTATGGGAAAATTATTACAGTCTTGTAGTTATTTTGTTATATGTTTAACATAGATGAGATCTATGTTAAATACCTATTTTAAAATTGGTAGGATATTTATTATGACCCTTAAATACCATAAAAACATGGTGGGTCCCATGCCATGGGTCAAAGCCCATAGCTAAATAAGCCATTCCACTCATGTAATTGCTGCAGAATTATTCAAAATTTACAAGCTGTTTTTCGTATAAGCTTGCGCTTTGCATCATATTAATTATAGCAGATGCATCTTAAATGTACCATGGGAAAAATATGCAGCCAGAAAACAAGTTCAGAGCTGGTGGGAAAATGCAATTAAAAAAAAAAAAAAAAAAACCACCAGCCAAAACAGAAAAAGCAAAGGTACCTCAGGGTAGATAAATGTTGCTTATCAGTAGGTAGTGAATGCCAGAGCTTACTCTTCTTTTAAAAATAAATAAATAAAAGAAAGAGAAAGGGAGGTGGGAAGAAAGGTATTTTAACTGTAGCAATTAATCAGAAGCTTTCAGATGTTATTCTATACCGCAAACATGTTACACCATGCTAATTATTTAGGGAATGGAAGCATAAGGCAAGCTAAGGAGAGAAAGGAATAAAAATATATGAAGTCTAAATGGAATGCAGTGGTCCATTGCCTGAAGCAATACAGCCATTTCTGATATAAAGAGCAAGCAGAAGTTATTGCGGTGCTGGCTTATCCATATATTAGCACTTGTGGGATTGAACAGCAGTGAATGAAAGCAGAAGTGGGTGCAGGGTTGCAAAAACACCCTATTAAATTATTGAAACCTCTGTGTAATGGATTTTGCAAGACAAATCATTGTGTGCCATCAAAGGGGTTAATTCTCAAAAATAATCAGGTTTTAAAATTGAAAATACAGCAGTATTTGAGCTTGTGTTAGGAACAGAAATCTGTGGCTTCGATGAACTCCAAGAGTAAGGAGTTGTAAACAGCATGTTTGGTTATACCTTGGGTTGAATACACCCATTAGGTCAAGTAATCTGTGCCTGTGGGGTCAGTTCAGAGCTGTACCTGGTAGCAGTCCTTGAGATTTTTGTGTAGGTGGGTAGTAAGTCACTCCAGAGAGTTTCCCGAGTTCCTCACCCTCAGTCT